AACTTATGATCCTGCTGCCTCTGCTTCTCAGATGAGAGGTTTTTTTAGGGTATTTCATATACTTGTCTAACTAATCTTATTAATAAAAATACATGTAAAACAGTAAAAGAAGTAGGTTTGATGAACAGGATGAAATTTAACACAGAAATATCAGTCTGCTTCGAGAAAACAGAAATCTACTAACAGCTACAAAAACTGGTAAATAACAAACTGTAGTATTTCTCATCCCTGCAGCTGAACTCATCTGAAGCCAAAATTCGTGCTCAGGAATGGAAACTGGAGCTCTTGCGCTCTTGCCTTCTAGAAACTGGCCGTGCAGACCTCTGGGGTCCCCTTGTCCAGGTGTAGGCTGATGATGGATGGGAATGGGAGATCTGTGGAAGCATAGAGACTTGCTGATGAGGTCAACGTCCCCGTGACCACACTGGGCGCTCTTCTGGGTTGGCTTCAGAATACCTTAAGGGTTAGGCATGAAAATCCATGATGTCTGCTTATTTGTTAAAACTGGGTGTTGGGTTGAAGAGCAATTAGAGCAAGTTTCTAAGCCTCTGCCAACACAGGCAGGTCATTCTCTTTTATGCCACAAAAACTTAAAAAGTTGAAGACCTGGCAAAGATTTCTTTGAAAAATAACCATTATATGTCAGTATGGATGATGATGATAAAGCTATTGCAACAGTGAATGGGTTGATATATTGCGTGGGGATATATTGTGTATCTCTCTCAAAAGAGACATCTAGAAATGGAAAGAAAGGAGCTAAAGGTGTAGTGAAGGTGGGATGGGTAGGGGAAGGGTAATAAGGGAAAAGAAAAAAAATGTGAGAGAATGAAAAGATGGAAATAAAGTGTTTGTAGATGGGGAGGGGAGAAGGGGATGAAGGGAGGGCAGGGGTAAGGGGAAAAAATGAGAACCAAGACCTGTCATGTAGAGGTACAAGATCCCAACAATGAATGTAACTGTACTGTATCCCTAAAATGTACCAATAAACTCAATTAAAGCTGAAAAAAAAAGAGACATCTACACTTTACATTCCTTGAGAAGAAACAAAAAAAGCAACTGATGATCTTCTTTTCTACCTGTAAGTTCATGAAACACCAGTACAATGTTTATTTCATCATCCTGGCTGCAACAGTAAGCAGAACCAAAATATGCACACAACCACTTTCTTGCAGTTTGCTACCTAGATTTGAAAATATTTTTAGGCATGGGCTGCCATGGTAGCCCATGCCTATAATCTCAACACTCTGAAAACTGGAGGCAGAACTGAATGTTCAAGCGCAGCCTGGGCAATGCAGTGAGATATTTCTTCACAAAAACAGAACCAACAACAAAAGAGGCTGAGGATATAGTTCAGCAGGAAGACTTTGGGTTCAGTCCCTAGTTCTCTCTATGTGTGAGAACACTGTTGGATATAGACACAAGAGGGAGAGGGCTGGATATTTTTGAAAACGACCAGATTATTCATTGTGACCTTCCAGATGATCTTCAGGAACATATTCATCTTGTAGATAGAACAACGGAGTCCTAAATAGAAGAGGATGTACCTTGCTCATTTTGTATCTACAAGAATCAAGTTTCCTTTATTACTAGAAACAAAGCAAAGTTTCATTGAGTTTCCTGGTCTAAAATTTCTAAAATTCAGTCTCAACTTGAAAAATTGACTGAAAATAATTATTTTTGTCATACGTCAGCCCAGGAAACACATGAGTCATACACACCAGTGTATAATTTTTCTTCTCTGGAACAGATCTTTAATGTTAATAACTTAAATTTAAGTCAAGTTGCTCTGTTATTAACTTTCAAGGTTCCTTCTTTTGTTGATCTGATATAAGCAGCAATGATGGCAGGTTAAAAAGAGAGGAGAAAGTGGTAGACTTGGCCAGGAGAAACCAAGGAAGTAGAAGAGTCTAAGTCTTTAAAAACAGCAGTAAGAAATTGTGCAATAGCAGGAAATTCTCTCACTTTTGAAGATATACCTTCCTTTCATCTTGAATAACTACCCTTAAATAGGTTTTTACTCTTGCTTTAACAAAGAATTTTTGTAGACTTTTGTATTTGGACTGATTTAACAAAATTATATATTAACTTGGGTTGCAAGCCCTGAGTACTATTATTTCCAGTAAGCCTCTTTCATTTTGTAGATATAAAACAAACTTTAATTTTTCTTGTTTGCCCAAGATCAAAGTAAGAAATATTTTTTGTGATGATACAGTATTTTAATTTTAAATGTCTTTTTCTTTCAGTTTTTGTCACTGTTTTGGTATAGCTCTTTTTGGACTTTTAACGAATAAATGGAAGCCTTTTAGTAACAAGATGAGAACTTTAAATTCTCTTTATTACAAAAAATGAGAGATTATTTTGGGAGGGACAGCAGTGTTATTGTTTGTCTGATCTATGCACTGTAAAAAGTTGGACATGTTGTTTAGGCAATTAGGCAATGAGAGTCTGCTCTTAAGGCTGGTGTGCTGTCACTGCAGAGTTTGATTACGACTCTCGCGTTGTTAGCACTGATGTCCTTGGAAATAGGATGCAGTGGAAAAGTAGGATGAGAACTTCATCCTTGTTCCTTGTCTTGTTGATGGATAGAGATGAAATTAAATGCTTTCTGTCACTAGATCACATCTGCTAAGACCCTATACATCTAATCTGTCATACAAGCTGAAATTAACTGTGCTGATAAAACATAAATGCTGTTATTTTAGCAAGTGAGAAAACACTCCACAAGTAAAGGTTTCTGGTTGGGCATTTTAAAGTGAAGCAATCAAATTCCTAGGAAATGTTTATTGTGCATCCATTATTTTGTGCTTTGGAAGATATAAAGGAGACATGATACGAGCTCATGAAAGGCTTAAAGTTTTGTTTGGACAGAAAATGATAAAGACATTTGACAAAATATATATAAGTTCCTAAATGGAAAGTTGTGTGGGGAAACCATGTTAAAAGTGAGAGAGAGAAAGAACTCGGGTCCCTCAGAGGGTGTATTTGAGTTGGTGTGGCAGGTAGAGTAGAGGAACAGTGTGGGACTGTCAAAGGAGCATGCTTATAGATGGGGAGGAGACAAGGTTTACTGGAGCAGTGGATTCATATTCAGAATTCATGTGGGATGTTTTGGATACTTAAATCGGATCCATATTGCTAAAACTTTTGTATTAGCTTTATATTGCTGCCATAACAAAGTAGCACAAATATAGCAGTTAAACAATACAAATTTATTAACATATAGGTCTATAGAATAAAGTCCTGCAGGCTCAAACAGTTTACGATCTGGGCTTTAAGGTTGAAGTGAAGGTGTTGGAGCAGCTAGGCTTTGGGAGAGAATTTGTTTTCAAGCTCATTCAGGTTGTTGGTCTAATTTTATGAAAAAACAAAATTTCATAACCAAATTATAAAAGAATAACAATAGTTATTACATTGTGTATTGCAATCTTCTCTTCAAAGTTAGGTTGTTGTTGTTGACTTTCTTCCAGGCAATTATAGGACTGAAGTCCTTGTTTTCTTGCTGGCTGATGGATAGTGGTTGTTCTCAGCTTCTTGGAGCCACTAGACCACATCTAGAGGCTTGTGGTCCTTTTCTTCCATCCTCAAAACTAACAATGATAGTTAGTCTTTCTCACGCTTCCTGTCACTCCTATGAATCCTTAGCGTGGCTCTGATTCTTCTGATTTTCTCTGCCACTTTTAAGGTCCCACTGATGATGTTAAGCCTGGCCAGATTAATCTCCCACTCTCCCTGTTTTAAGGCCTCTAACCATACTTCTACTTTCAAAGTCTTTACTGACAGGTAAGCTCACACATTCACAGATTTGAAAGATTGAGCACCAAAGTTGAGTTTGAATATGATCCAAAAACGATTTGAGCAGCACTGTGGGCTACCCAACAGAGGAGAGATACGTAGGCACACAGAGAAGGCTGATGATATGGCGTCCTTCAAAGTAGTCTCATTTTACTATTCGTGCAACATTTATTTAGAGGATAGACAGAGAAGGGAAGAGAAGCCATTTTTAGACTGAGATGCAAACAATTCTGCTCTGACCCAAACTTGCAAACTCCCATTCAGGAAAAGGAAATCACTGTGGCTAATAGTGCTTATCCTCCTCAGAGATTAACTGCTATTGTGGGATGGGAAGCGCATCCTCCCTCAACCTAACGTGGATTATCACAGTCATTATTCTAAACTGTGCAAGACTTTTCTAAAGAAAACAAATCTAATATAAATATTTTCTGTCTTATTGCGTTTCCAGTGTTATGTGAACCTTCTTTCACAGACTGGCACATCAGGCAGCCATGCTACTGCGCTTCTCATGCTTCAACTGTCTCTCAGGGTTTTTATTCATTTATTGATCCACGTGCAATTTCCACCTGAAAGCATCATTCCAGGTACGAGGCTTACTGTGGCAGAGTGAGAAAAGAACATATGAACCGACTGTGTGTTAGGTGATAAAGACATGAAGGAATTCACACAGGTTAGGATGAAATGATGGGTGAAGACATTAGGCAACATTTGAGCAGTTTTTCCGGTTGGTTAAACCATATGGCTTTCTGGGGCAAGAGTGTTTCAGGCAAAGGAAAAAATTAAATGCCATGAGCTTGAGGTGGGAGTTGATTGGGACATCCACAGAAAATAAGTGGTGCCAAATGTGAATGTCTCCCACTTTCCATGTATTTAAAATTTAATCCCTAAAGTCAGGTGTTAATGACTTTTAGAAATGAGGCCTTTAGGAGGTAATTAGGGTTAGAAGATTCATGATGGTGGGGTCACAATGATTGCCTTATTAGCCTTATCAGGAGAGAAAGAATGACCCAAGAAGCAAGTGTGCTCTCTCCACCACATCACGATCCAGTAGCAGTGCCCTCAGCAAATGCCAAACAGATGCCGGTACTAAGTTCTTGAACTTCCAGGACCTTAAATCAAACAAACCTTTTTTCTTTGTAAATTACTCAACCTGTGGTATTCAGTTATAGAAACAGAAAACATTCTAAGACAGAAAGTGGTTGGAGCAGAGTGATTAAAGGAAAATAAATATTTGTAAGTGAGGTCAGAGAGGTATTAGACAATGTCAGAGTAAAGTCCTCTGCATTAAGTAATATTCTAAATTTGGGCTCACAAGCTCTTTTATACTTTTGACTCCAAGATTTTAGTATGATTACTGTACAGAATGATTTGTTTGTTTCAAGAAATTTGGACCAAAGAAGAAAATAGCATATTTCAAGTTCTGGGTATAGATTGCTATAAAAAGTTGACTTATTATATGCATTTATTGACTATTGTTTATAACACAAACAAAGCTGCTCTTCTTTTATAATCAGAGTAGCTAATATTATACCTTTCTCATTTCCATCCTCAATATTATTATACAATAAAAACTGAATATATAATATACTGCAGAGAGAGCAATGAGCGGGATTCAATCACACATTTAAATGAATTTTTAAAAATCTGAACCATGTCCAAGTTCTTCCATCTAAGCATCACTTAAGAATCTGTTTGTTCAGTTGAGTTTCATCTCTGCAGCTGCCAAGGCACTTTAGTTCTGCCAGCTCAACTCTCTGATTACAAAATAGAGGGTGGTCATTTAACAGTGTTTTTTGAAAAGAATATTATGAGAAATCCTGATAATAGAAAACTGGAGGCTTCCCTCTTACACACCACTTTAGCCTGAGGGCAGTTAATTTTCAGAGGGCATTCTCACCTTCTCCAAATTTAAGCAGCCTTTGGCGGAGTATATGTGCTTTTGGAAGATGGATGCACTTTGCTGCAGCTTACATTCATAAATATTTTTGTAGTATAATAGATTGTCAAAACAAATCTGTGTTTTCCATTTGTGTGTTCATGAGTGTATCAGCATGCCTCTTTATCTTTCTGTCCATCTAGAGAGACAGAACAAATAATTTACTTCCCCCATTGTGGAATTTCTCCCTGGTGGTATAGATTTGTGCAGAAGTGGTGATTCATGAAGATCAGGCAGATGAATGTCCATTTGATCTGTGGGAACAGCTCTTATAAATTTATTTTTTAGCAATACTATGTCTTCATTGAAAACTTGTGGTTGTCTTTGCGCACCTTCAGTGGGAAATCCCATCTGCAGCATGACATTAGCTGTGACATTGAACTGGTGAAGGAAAGTCAAGGTGGTCTTGTTGATAACACAGTTGCACCTGTGGGAACATAGCACTGTGTCATGGCACGAGCACCGAGGTCCGTCAGAGCTCACTTACTCATTGTGCGACTTTAGGTGTAGCTTCTCTCATCCTCCATTTTCTATTTTGCAATATGTGGGAAAACAATGCTTGTTTCCTAGCACTGGTTGTGAGAATTACAGAAGATAACATAAATAAAATGCTTAGTGTAGAGCTTGTACCTGCTGAGTGCTCTATAACTGGGATCCATTTTTATTATCAGCTTTCTTTGGCTTATTTCATTTTGATGGCACAGCAGGTAGGCTTGGCATGAAGCAGCAGTCTTTCTGGTGCATGAAAACGTAGGGCCCTAGAGGACAGCACATCAAACTCTACAACTCAATGTATACCTTCCTTTGAAATTTTCACAATATTTTTCTCTTTTCAAGTAAACCTGGGGAAAACATTTTTCTGCTTGCTGCCTGAATTTCCAAGCAATTCTAGTTTCCAAGGAGATTGTAAATGGATGTATTTGTATATGCTGATTTGCCTCAACTCTAGAAGAATTCCTCAGGGAATTCTTCAAAAGAGGCAGAACATAATGGAAATGCTTTTTCTCTTTTTCATAAGCCATAGAAATGTGTGTGTGTGTGTGTGTGTGTGTGTGTGTGTGTGTGTGTCCTTAGTGATATAAAGTTACTTAGAAGTGGTCAGGCAAAATGGAAAGATTAGCTAATGAAAGATTTATCTCCCCATGACTGAAATTTTATATGTCATTTCAGATTAATTTATCTTTTTTCTATTTAGAAAAGCATTTACTACAATTTGGAATTGCAATTAGGGTATCCTGTACCATCTGCAGTGTTTGATGTAATTCTCTAGTTTCACTATAGTTATAATACAAAGAAGGATGGAACTGACATTGACTTTCTACTCTAGAAAACCCAGTAGCACCCATGCAGTGTCTATTCTTGATAGGTATTCAATACTGGTTAATTGATGATAAAGGTTTTCTTCTGGCTCACAGTTTCCATTAGTACTTGTGGCAAATAATTATTTAGTTTTGAAAAAAAATTATGGATCTCTGAAAAAAGGATGCATCTTTCAAAGGCTCTTGGTTCTATTCTATATTGACAACAATGGCCCATATGATATTAATCTAAGGCGATTTTAGTTTCCATTTAATCAATCCTGGCTTCTGATTTCATAAGAAGAGTTGTTGCTGTTAATTTTTCACATGTGTAAATGTTGAAATTTTTTTTTTTGCATCCACTGTTAAATGCTTATCTTTTATTTTGCAAGTAGAAAATTGAGCTGGCAGAACATAAGTGTCTTGGTCCAGGCTTGATTGATTGATTCATTCATTCTCACTCTTTGTGCATTCATTCAGCATTGAGCGGCATGGTGTGGTGTAAAGAACACAACTTTGGAGTCAAGAAGATTGGAGTTTGCATCCAAGTTCTCTTACTGGCTTTGTGATCTCCATAAAATTATTTTACCTTCATGAATTTCTATATTAATATCTATGAGCATAGATTGCTGTGATTACATGAGAATATATAAATGAATTTCCTGAACTGTATATTACTTGTAGATAGGAGAGGCTGTGTTAACACACATTTCTCACTTCCTACTGTGCAAACTGGCATCCTATTGAGTAGATCCATACAGGCCTTATCCTCAAGAGACTGTACAATCTAGGTGGGGGATATATAAAAAAGAATTATAACACCAAGCATAAGAAACAGCTGAAGCATTTCTCTGATTGCCTCACTTTACTAAAACATGAGCCTGAGCATAGTTTGAATAGAAGAGTGAGTGGTAACCAGGACCCAAGCAAAGAGTCTAAGTGACATAAGTTTGGTGGCCAACCTCATCTCCTTGTACGGGAGTACCCCTTTGCCAATGCCTTCTTCTCCAATGACTGAGTTATAAAGAGACCACAAAAACTACATCTCTCATTGCGGTTTCCTAATCAAAGGGATTATGTTTAGCTATATGTTGATTGTATTGGATCAAGTATTATTAAAGACTTTGTTTTCTCAACTGTCCATAAAAAGATTAAATGGTACATTAATCTTTTAATTCATTATCTTTAATACTTTAATTCAAAATATATGCAATAGGTTATGAGTGCTGGGGATGTACCCAGCCCCCACAAACAGATTTGTTACCACCCCATCTGCCATTCCAAATGCTAGATCCCAGGAACACCACTGCTTTGCAGTATGTTATATTTTATAAGACGTTGAGGAAAGAGAAACACAGAAAGATAGTGACAATCACTGCAGGCCTAGAGAGACAGAGAGCATAAGGTTAGAACTAAAACTTCTAAAAAGCAACTGGAGTGTTGGAAAAAGGAACAGAGTGAAAAATTGAATACATTTACCAAGGAATTAGGGAACAGGCTAAAGGTATTTATGTAGGCAGAGAGCATATGGAAAAAGGGGAAATGAATCATGAAAGAAGGCAGTGAGTCTTCTCACAAGTTACCTCATCTTGAGAAGTGTGTGTATGTGTGTGTACACAGACATGCTTTTTTCATATATGCATAATTGGAAGAAGAAAAAGTTACCAAGTCTAGTCCATAGTATATGAGAAAGGAAAAAAAATGTCTACCATGAGATTGTCATGGTGGTTACTGTGTTCTGCAGGGCTACATCTAAACTATGAATGGTAGGGAAATTCTGTAGCAATTATAAGGAGAAAGCCATAGAGTAAGAGGAGGTGTTGCTGACAGCTGAGATCTGTATGAATATGGAAATTTCTTCCACTTTCTGGCACTTTTACTGCCACCCCCAAACCCTTCTTGGATTTAAGACTTGTTGTCATGCCAAATGATTGGTGATGCCAAGGCCCAAGTAGTTTCTGGGACTGGTGTCTCTTGCAAGAATGATTGTTCAGAAAATGAGAGTCTTGGAGAGATAGCAGGATTTGGAAAGATATGGTATGATAGGCTTGAAAATTTTCTGCAGATGTAGGGTTGTAGAAGTAGGGAGGGGAAGATGAACTTGTCCTTCCATGTCTCTAATAAAGGATAGCTTGTTTCATCACATATAATTATGATATCGGAGGTGTTAAGAGGAGTATGTGAAATGAGTGAGAGATAACGTACCTGAGAGGAGTCTGAGAATCATACAAAAAGAAAGTGCCCAATAGGACGCAGAGCAGTTGAAAAGACCACTGAATCTGGAAAATATCAGAAAGGGTTCCAAGATGGTGAGTCTACATGAGGCCAGAGGATGGCCAGGGTTGGACCTATCATGCTAGTCTATAGGTGAACAACCTGAAGTTAGAGCTGAGCAGCCAGTAAACGTATGACCAGAAGTCAGAGCAGGGACACTTTTGTCAAGCCCAAGGGCTTGAGCTGTGCTGTGCATGTGGAACAAAGCCTGACGCTGTGTCGCAGGAGTAGGGGTGTGTGTGTACATAGCTACCTGAGCAAGCCTGGGTACTGGCACTGTGATCCACTCAGAAATCATAATACAGACAAGTACACTGCAAAATTTTTTGCTCATAATAAATGTATAGTGAAACCCTCCAGACATATAAAGAAAACAATAAAATAAAGAACTTGCGTCTGAAGAAGTAAAGAAAACTAATTTTATATGACTAAAAATGAAGTATGTGTAAGAACCTCAAAGAAATAAAGGGATGAAAGTATCTGTGTACTGGATATAGAGATCTAAGAATATGACGTTAAGAATTAAGTACAACATATTAATGGATGGGCTGGAGATTTAGCTCAGTGGTTCTGCTGTCTGCCTTGCAAGCACAAGAACCCGAGTTCGATCCCCGGTACCAAAAAACAAAACAAAAACAAAAACAAAAAACAACAACAAAAAAACACCCCCAAACAAACAAACAGAAAAACATATTAATGGAAAAGAAATGATTAGAAATAATGGATCTGAAAGTAAGGTTGTTGAAATATCAAGACTCAGCATAATAAACTAGATGTAATCAGAGTGAATTAGTGAACCTTAAAATTGAATTGAAGAAATAATAATAACCTCTAATATTGATCAAGTGCTTACTTTGTACAAGACATTAGTGTAAGGACTGAACATGTGTAATTTCATCTCATCCTTGCAAGTATTATATAAAATAGGCGCTCTTCTATTCTCATTTTATTGACTGTGAAATTAAGGCAAAGAAGATACAATGTACCCAAAGTCACACAGGCTTGAATTTAAGTACAGCCCTGTGTTTAACCACTGAACTATAATGCCTACACCCCCAAATTTCTCAAAATGCAGCCAGCACAAGGAGATAAAAGAAGTAGACACTAATGAAAGAGAAGTTAAAAGACAAGGAATAAATTTCAGGCCTAGTGAGTAAAAATTTGTATGTGTTAATAAATCTTGAAGTGATTCATATGCACTTAAAAGAGTAAGAGTTTTGTTCCCTTTCAAGTCTTATTTCTAATAATGAGTGATGCTCTCCTCTCATGCTCTATTCAGTGTTTCTAGAATTCTGGGAGAATGGCACACAAAAACACCTGATAAAAGAAGCTCGCCATTCAGCAGTTTGTAGGTCATTTTGACAAAATAGATTTCCTGTTGCATGCCAACTCCAGATGATGGACCGTTATTGTCTGGAGCTGTGTTGAGGAGAATCCTGAAGCTGCAACTGGCCTCAGCCGGAAAGAGTACTACAATCAATTTGAGGTTAGAATTTTAATTATTCTAAAACATAAAAACTTGAGAAAGTCATAGCTTCTTCATTTGTAGATGGGTACAGTATATGCACCCACAGTGCCGTGTTTATTTTCTATTTGAAGACAATAATGCAGACTTTATTCAGTGAAGGACTATGAGATAGGTTGAGGCACAGCCATAAAGGAATCTTGCAGTGGGGCAGAGAGATTGAATTTAATTGCAAATACAGGATAGGCAAGTGGGTTGTCTAGCCATAGAGCAGGGTGAGGGCCAGTGGATGGACAATTACTTGGAGGAAATATCGGTGTTACCAGTTAGTTTAGGTCCTTGCTTAAGTAAAAATAAATATTAAAAACAAATCATAAATTTCCAGGAGAAAAGATTTAATTGAAAAGCAGCAAGTAAATATATGAAAAAATGTTCCACATCACTGGTCATTCGAAAGATGCAGATGAAAACAACACTGAGATTCCACCTCACCCCACAAAGAATGGCTGCTATCAAGAAATCAACCAATAACAAATGTTGGCAGGGTTGTGGGGAGAAAGGAACCCTTCTCCATTGTTGGTGGGAGTGCTTACTGGTGCAACCACTATAGAAGTCAATATGGAGATACCTCAAAGAGCTGGCACTAGAGGTTCCATTTGACCCAGCCATCCCTCTGCTGGGTATCTTTGCAAAAGAATTAAAAAAAATCATATCACAGTGATATATGCGCACCTACATTTAGAGAGAGCAGCACAGTTTATAATAGCTAAAACTTGGAAACAGCCCATTTGCCCATCCGTTGGAAACTGGATAAAGATGTGGCTTCTCTATAAAATGGAATATAACTCAGCCATAAAGAATGAGAAATTAGATTCATTCATAAAAATGGATATGTGTAAATACCGAATAGTTTCTCTGGTGTGAATAAACTGTAATAGTACATAAGATACTAATGAGATAATTGACCATGTGAAATAGGAAGAAAAGGGCTAAAGTTGTAGGGAAAGTGGGAAGGGTAAGGGAAAGGTAATAAGGGAAAAGAAAAAATATGAGAAAATGAAAAAATGGAAATAAAGTGTTTGTAAATGGGGAGGGGAGGAGGGGGTGAAGGGAGGGCAGGGACAAGGGGAATAATGAGAACCAAGACCTGTCATGTAAAGGTACAAGATCCCAATAATGAGAGTAACTGTATTGTAGAACTAAAATGTAGCAATAAACTCAATAATAAAAAAAGAAAAGTTAGAGGGAATTTAGGAAAGGACTTTGGTTTAGGTAGCTGGAGGGAACACACTCTCACACAGGGATTCAAACAGATCCACCTGCAAAGGCAGGAGGTCAGTGTTTAAGGATTAGCTGGTGGGTTTGGCTTTGGTTGATCATTACCTTGGTCCTGGTGTCACAGTTGTGAAATCTTGACAGCTGAGGGATAGTTTCGTTCCCAGGGATGGATCATCTCTGTTTGTGGTAAGATCTTTCATGTGGGGCTCCACCTTTCCCGGAATCCAGTTCATCACAGGTTTAGGACAATATCTGGAGATTTCTGAGTGTAGCTGAATATCCCTGTAACCTCTTAAATTAGTGTCCCCAGTCTTAAAGGGAGATAAAATCAAGTAAATTCGGGGCTAATCAGCCCTGTCCTGCCAGTTTTGTCCGATGCTCCCTAAATGATTAGCATATCCCTGTGCAGAGCTGAGAACACAGTGCTTTGCTTACAGATGTATAACGTATTAATAACATTTACAGAAAAAAATGAGAATTTTCCTTCCTCCTATTATTTGATTTTGTTGCACCTGAAACATTATTATTAACCTGAATTTTAAAAGGGTTTAGAGGAATATGGTATTTATTATTCAAACTCCCAATTAGGAAATTTTTCCTTGCAATAATCTATTGTCTATCCCTGATTTCTTAGGTTTTAATTTATTCTGTAAAATGTAAAAAAAAAAAAAAACACAAAGGCTGATTCTAATGCTAGTAAGGCTACATCTGAAGTATTAATGTGAGGACCAAGAGAAACAAGGCTCATGGCAGAGAATGGGGTCCGGTGGGTACACTGTGGTCAGGAGGGTGAACTACACTTGTCTGTAGGACTTCGGGAGGAAGACAGAGTGGCTTGATTATTCTCATCTTGAAGCTGAATATGGCTAGACTGGCTTCCAAAGTGATGAGCACATGACGTTTTTGCTCTGGACTAGAAGGGAAGTGTCCTGTATAGACAATTCATGCACTTGTAGACACTCTAATCTTTCTAAGGTAAGACGTTTTCTAGTTTATTAGCACCATGAAAAGGTGATTGAAGAAGACATTAAGGCCCAGTTGTTTTGTCATTTGGGGAATTAGGAACCTAACTCATAGTCTCCTGATTCCAAGTCATTCCCATAGTTTGCCTCTTGGTTGTCTCTAATGTACAAGCATAGAGGATTTAACTTCTTTATGCAGCATGCTCAAGGTATCCATGATAGTCCTGGGATTTAGAAAGTGCCATGACACTCAACTATTGTCCCTGAAACCTACTTCTTTCACTCTAGTCAGCCACGATCCAGGAAGTCTCCTCTCCCTTGAAATTGATTAGTTCAATGGGAAAGGAAACTTAACAGTAATCCTACTTGAGATATTCCATACCGAGACATGCTGGGCAACTTAACAGCTTAGAGAGAACTTATCCCCCACCCCCAAAAAGGTCAGAGGATATAGCTCAGTGTTAAGGCCCTGGGTTCAATCTGCAGCCCCCCACACACATTCAAACAAACACACACACACACACACACACACACACACACACACACACACACACTGAAAGACACAGCATGCAGTAGCACATGACAGAGATTATTGTAGAGCCATCTTCATAGAGTTTTGATAGCTAAGGATGTTAGACATAAAATGTACCCCAAAAGTCTTATGTGTTTAGAGGTGGGGCTTTGAGAAGGTGGTTGGATCTTATGAGCTATGCTCATCACTATAAAAGTCCATTGATGAGTTTATAGTTACAAGATAGGGTACGGTCTGAAGAGGTGGATCACTGGGGGTGTGAACTGAAAGGATATATCCCTGTTCCTGACTTCTCTCTTCTCTCTCTGCTTTCTAGCTGCCATAAGTTGAGCAGTTACCTCTTCCATGTTTTTATGCTGTTTTGTTTGTGCCTTGAAGTCAGTGAACCATGGACTGAAGCCCCTAAAACCATGAGTCAAAGTAAACCTTTACTCCTTTAAATGTTGGATGTCAGGGCTTTTGTCCTAGTAATGGGGAGGTGACTAATTCATCAAGAAACTGACAGGAAGAATAACTGAAACAGGCTATGTTGTATTGAGAACTATTTGTGCTTTTGGTAGCAGCAAATGTGTTAGTAAGACCAAACCATTCACCATTTATTACAGTGGATCCATTATTCACAGGAAGTAGGTTCTCATGATAAAGTCTTGATACTATAGGGTGACAATAATTTCTGTGTTTACTATATTTTAGCAACTAGCTTAGTGATACCATGAAGATCCAGATATTCTATCCTGAGGTCAAGATACTTGATAGTAGATGATTCTTAGTCTTGACAGTAAAATAAAGAAAATATCTGAAAAATTAAGAAAGGAATCCACTCAATTAAGGAAGCCAATTAATGCCATTTGGGAATAGTAAAAAGCAAAACAAATCAAAACAAAACAAGAACAAGAGCACCATGCCCAGAAAGTTGAGAAAAAGAAAAATTAACACTAGTTTATTAAGGCTTTATGAAAATCTGGAGCTTCCTAGGAAGGAGACAATATGGATTATTACCAACTAATTACTGGGTGAAATTCGCTGCCAGAATGGGAGAGGGGACAGAACCATGAAGAACTGGTTTCTCCTTCAGGAAGTGTCAATTTCAAAACCTTATTAAGGCTTCCAGGGCTCTGATTTCTTGGCTGTGGGAAAAGTATGTGGTAGTATAAATCTTTCCCCTGCTTCTGTGTCTTTAGGTGTCACCTGAGGAATCCTGATCCTAGATATCTTAGTTCACACCTTCTCTGACACAACTGTAACCAAACCAGCTCAGTATCAGATCAAACAGTGAGGTCTCACTTTTGAGACTTAGTTCCCTGGATCATACATTGGCAATCTTTTCCTTTTTTCCCAACCATCTGAAGCCCTATGTGATGAGGTCCTTCCTTGAAACAGTGGGTCTGGACAGCATGTCCGCTAAGCTAAGCAGTCATCTCCATAGGATACCAGGGCAGTCTCTCAGATTAGCTGTGTCCATGTGATTACCCTATCCCCTAACATATATACTTCACTGTCACACTACCAATGGACAGGAGCAAGTAGTCTTTCTCCACATTTGGAACACAAGGACATACATGATGTATAAAACACAGAAAAGGATAAGAAAACTTTCTCTTAAGTGTCTCATGACTGTAGAGGGATCACACAAGTTTTGGAGTCAGGAACACTGAGTTCTAATTCTGGCTAATCTCATTTACTTTAGAACTTTCTTTAAGTGCAAAAAGTGGGGCTGTGCTTGATGGTACATACAAGGAGCTCTTCTGGCCATGTCTATAATAGTCTGTGAAAACAGCTTGCAGCTGAGAAGGAGGATTCAGGCATTGTGTTCTTTTCTTTCTTGCCATTTGCCTTTGTTGACTTCCTCCTCTTTTCCTTGACTCAGTCTGTACTAATTCTGTACAACTCTTAGGGCATTATCATGTACTGTCTTTGTTTGTTTGTTTTTGGTACTGGGGATTGAACTCCGGCCCTTGTGCTTGCAAGGCAGATGGTGGAACCACTGAGCCAAAACCCCAGACCTCATGTACTGTCTTTTAGTGATTTGATTTCTTGACTTTTCATCTCCCATAAATTATATGTTTTGGAGGCTACAGGCATGGCATTTTATTCATCTTAGTTTTGCATCAAAGTATCAAGCAAGGTGCCTGGCACATAGAGGTTGGGTGAGTTCTATTTTCAGCATCCATCACAGGGACTACAAAAACTCAACAGCATCTGCCTCCATAGCAGGTTCCTGTTTGGAAATAACTGTCAACTCCTTTTTAAATTCTCATGTCCCAGTCAGAATTGTAACTGTGGTTGATCTGACGAGTGGGAATTAAAAAGATTTTATTTTAAATTATTCGGGGAAACTTGTATGTTTTGTTTTCTTCCCTAGCCTTTTTTTTTTTTTTTTTTTTTTTTTTTTTTTTTTTTTTTAACCTGTGAGGCAGGTGTGGTCCACTGGGCTAAATCCCTGGCACTCTAATGTCTTTTTAGACTTTGGTTTATGGCCTTTTAAAATTATTCTTTCCTTTGGGGTTTTTTTTTCTCAATACTATGATGACATACATCAACTTCTATAATCTTGGTTGTCTTGGAAATCAGTGGGATTTGATAGGAAAAATGGGAGGCTTGACTGAACGATGATTATTAAGGTGTCAAGTATTCTGTGGGG